TCATCAACCAAGTGATCCTTCCCTTCCTTTAGAAGACATGTCAACCCTCCTATTGACCACTATATCTCCATGTTTCCACTAGATTATTCTAAAATCGTTTGGGACAAGAGAGAAAAGAAAGGAAAGATATTTTTGTTCTGAAGTTTGTGTTTTAGAGCTTCAACTTCAAATACAATCCAAAATCATAAAAATTACAAATTACAATCTAACATTAAATCATTGTTGTCACTTGTCCATCTATAACATTAGAGTCTTGAATGGAGCAATCCAAAATATATTCATCTATTGAAGCATCTTCTTTACATTGGAAAGCTAACATCCAAGGCTACAACTTTCATGAATATTCTAAAGTCAAATTCTGAAAATCAAATGCGAGCTCGGCGCATTAAAAGAGCGCCCGGCTCAATTCTCAACCAGAGACTTCCAGGGGTCTATTGCGCCCGGCTTGGTTTTCCCCGTGCCCGGCGCGTTTCACCCAGGGATTCCCCCTTTGAACTCACGCCCGGCGCGAAGAACTGTGCCCGACTCAAATTCAAACAGGAACCCTCCCCAGTTCGAAAATTTCACCTGCAAAATCAACACCCCAGGCACATGCAATCGGTCCAAAACATCACATTTTCATCATACAACCCAAAAATACCAACTTTTTCAACATGCAACCACAAACAAGGAAAGATCACCAAATTTTCACCAAACCCTGGAATATCCCGAAACCACATCTTCAGCAATTTCAGCCAAAAACTATCAATTATCCAACAACAAATGAGTTTCTAGACTCAGTTATAGCAAAAAATAGCGAGAATCTAGCTTCCCTTACCTCAGAGGAGAAGTTCCAAGCTTCCGGGAAGGAGAAAGGAGAAAACGAATGGAGAAAATGATGAACGGAGGAGGAAGAGTCCGCGCTTCAGCTTCATTCCCGCACCTTTACACAGCTCCTACGGCTACCAAGATAAAAGAATGAACAAGTCCAAGTGAGTGGGAGAGAAAGAATGAGAGGAAGAAGGAAGGCTACTAGTGAAATGTTGAGAGGGAGAGAGGGGAAAGACTGAGGGTCTCACAGTTTGCTTCTCTTTCCTCGTTGCCTTCGGCCACCATACTTGGGAGGGCAGCACGTTAAAACTACGGGGAAAGCTTCTGTGACCTTCTTCAGCCTGTGTAGAGCGACGTCCTTGGAGAGCTTTCATGGAGGTCCTTATACGCACATATTGAGTGCTTTAAACTGGAGGTACATAATGGGGTAGATGGGTAGCTTTTACTACCTTCAACTGTGCTCCCGTGAGTTTGCATGTGTTGCATGTGCTTTCTGTCCTTCCATGCAGAGCAGCAGTAGAAATTGCATGTCCTTTCTGTGCATGCATGCAGAGCAACAGTAGAAAGATGCTTCCACGTAGCCGAGGGCAGGTTGGTCTTTTTCACATAGCTGACATGGCTTTCCCCAGATTTCCCCTCCTTTCTCCGTTGATGAGCGAAGATCATTCCGTACGTCTCTCCCGCTTTTCCTCGCTTTTCCTTCCTCGCTTTTCCTTCGAAACAAACACAAGTGACCCCCTCTTTTCTTTCTGCAGCAATAGTCTTTCCGCGGAAACAAACAGAGGCTAAGGTAAAAGACTGATTTTCCACTAGTGTCAAGCCACCAAAACGCGCAAGCCATTGTAATCCAGGGGTAAAGTAACCGCCCCAATTTTGTGGCTTCACTTTGAGCGCAATGGGTCTCACCTTTGAGAACCGCTTGATCACCATAATAGGAAGACAATAAACAAGGTATGGAAAAGTGACCAACATGCTAGCCAATTTTTGAAGTTTTATTTCCCTATTTTTCCAAACTTTTCTTAGGTAGTTCATATAGCTAGGCTTTAAATTTTGTTCTCAAATTTTTTGTGGTAGTTTCTAATGATTTTAGGATGATGTTGGTGCATTAGTTTTGATATTTTATGAGTTTTCATGGAAATTCCCATTTTACCCCTACTGTTCACGTGTCCTAATGCATATGTTGCATGTAGTGCGTGACTAGGAGCAACCCTGATTTTTTGCACCCATTTGATCCTGAGATTGATAAGACATTCCATAGACTAATTAGAGAGCATATCATTCCATCTTTAGATAGTGATAGTCATAGTCATAGTGATAGCCATAGTGATAGTCTCAGTGTAACTGTTGCATCTGAGCTTGATTCAATTCAAATAGAAAACATGGGTGAACAACCTTATAATGGACCCCGTGAGAGGACTCTTAGGGAGATGGCTGCACCTGATTTTACTTATGAGAGTTTGTGCATTCAATATCCTGAAGAAGATGTTCCTTTTGTGCTTAAAACTGGACTAATCCATTTGTTGCCCAAGTTTCATGGTCATGCAGGTGAGGATCCACATAAACATCTGAAAGAGTTCCATATTGTTTGTTCTACCATGAAGCCTCCTGATGTTCAAGAGGATCACATTTACCTGAAGGCATTTCCACATTCATTGGAGGGAGTTGCTAAAGATTTGCTGTATTATTTGGCTCCCAGGTCCATCACTAGCTGGGATGATTTGAAAAGAATGTTTCTGGAGAAATTCTTCCCTGCCTCGAGGACCACTGCAATTAGAAAAGATATATCCGGTATCAGGCAACTTGGTGGAGAGACCTTGTATGAGTACTGGGAGAGATTCAAGAAATTATGTGCAAGCTGTCCCCACCACCAGGTTTCTGAGCAGTTGTTGCTACAATATTTCTATAAGGGGCTAAACAACATGGAGAGGAGTATGATAGATGCTGCAAGTGGTGGAGCACTTGGTGACATGACCCCAGCTGAAGCAAGGCACTTGATAGAAAAGATGGCCTCGAACTCTCAACAATTTAGTACCAGAAATGACAATGCTATTGTCATCAGAGGAGTTCATGATGTGGCCACTGATGTAGATAAAAAGCTAGAGAGTAAACTTGATGCATTGGTCAACCTGGTGACTCAACTTGCTGCAAATCAAAAATCTACATCTGTAGCAAGGGTCTGCGGCATTTGTTCTTCAATTGATCATCACACAAATGTATGCCCTTCTCTACAACAGTCAGGAGTAAATGAGCATCCAGAGGCATATGCTGCAAATATTTACAATAGACCTCCTGTCCAGCAACAACAGCAGCAGAGTTATGACCTCTCCAGCAATAGGTACAATCCAGGTTGGAGAAATTATCCCAATCTCAGATGGTCTAACCAGCAGTAGCAACAACAACCATCCCCTCCCTTCCAAAACAATATTAGTCCCAGCAGATATGTGCCTCCCCCTATCCAACAACAGCAGCAGCAAAGACAACATGAAGCTCCTACACCACCAGCTCCTCAACCTTCTACTTCTGAACCTTCATTGTAGGAGTTAGTGAGGTAGATGACTCTTCAAAATATGCAATTCCAGCAAGAGACTAGAGCTTCCATTCAGAGCTTGACCAATCAGATGGGGCAGATGGCTACTCAACTCAATCAGGCACAATCTCAAAATTCAGATAAGTTGCCTTCACAGACTGTGCAAAATTCGAAAAATGTGAGTGCCATCACATTAAGGTCAGGGAAACATATTGACATACCCACTGCAGTACCTCCACCTCCATCTGCACTTGTGCTAGTACCAATTCCAGCATCTGCACCTGAGCAAAATGATGAACCAGTTGGTGCCCGAAATTTTCATGTAGGTGGACCTTCTTCCAGCACCAATTCTAATTTGCAGCAGCCTCCTATCCCTCTTCCATTTCCTCCTAAATTGATTCCAATCAAAAAGATGGAAGAGGTGGATAAGGAGATATTGGAGACCTTCAGAAAAGTAGAGGTGAACATACCTTTGCTTGATGCCATCAAGCAAATTCCCAGATATGCTAAGTTTCTGAAGGAGTTGTGCACTCATAAGAGGAAAATAAAGGGAAATAAGAGAATCATCATGGGCAAAAATGTGTTTGCTTTGATAGGTAAATCTGTTATGCACATTCCTGAAAAATGTAAGGACCCAGGTACTTTCTGCATACCTTGTATTATTGGGAATAACAAATTTGAAAATGCCATGCTTGATTTGGGTGTTTCTATAAATGTCATGCCTCTGTCCATTTTTAAATCTTTGTCTCTTGGTCCTATACAACCTACGGGTGTGGTGATACAATTGGCAAATAGAAGTGTCTCCCACCCTACAGGTTTCATTGAGGATGTCTTAGTTCGGGTCGGTGAACTGATTTTTCCTATTGATTTTTATGTGCTTGATATGGAGGAGGGATTCTCCCATGGTTCTGTCCCAATCATTCTAGGGAGACCATTTTTGAAAACAGCCTGGACTAAGACTGATGTTTATGCTGGCACCTTGTCTATGGAATTTGGTGATATTGTTGTTCATTTTAATATTTTGGATGCCATGAAATTTCCTTTTGAAGATCATTCTGTTTTTTGTGCTGAATTGATTGATAATCTAGTTGATGAGCACATTCATGATTTTGATTCTTCTCATGCTAAGAAGCATTCATTTTCATTTGATTTGTATAGCTGCCTTTCATGCATTGAGTCTGAGTCTGAATTTGAATATGAGTCTGAATGTGAAACTGATTATGAGGCATCTGAATTTGACACTTTGGGTGTTGTACCTCTTGCTCTTGATTTTATACAGTTAGAATGCACTAACCATGTTGCAGGAAGTACAAAAGAATTTGAATTGCAGGTTGAGGTACAGGCTGTGGAACCCCTTCTCCCTTCTTTGGTTCCTTCTGATGTTCAGCCATCACCCACACTAGAGTTGAAGCCTCTTCCAGAGAACCTCAAGTATGCTTACTTGGAGGATGATGAGAAGTTTCTAGTGATCATTTCCACCTCCCTTGATGCTGTTTAAGAGGAGAAATTGTTGCATGTTCTGAAAAAGCATAAGAAATCCATTGGTTGGACCCTGTCAGACATTCCTGGTATCAGCCCATCCACTTGCATGCACAGGATACTCTTAGAGGATGGAGCTAAACCAGTCAGACAGCCCCAGAGACAACTCAACCCTGTCATTTTGGATGTAGTGAAGAAGGAGGTGACCAAGCTTCTTCAAGCTGGGATCATTTATCCAATATCAGATAGTCAGTGGGTGAGTCTGGTCTAGGTGGTCCCCAAGAAGACAGGCCTCACTGTTGTGAAAAAATGAGAGGAATGAGCTCATACCCACCAGAATCCAAAATAGTTGGAGGGTCTGTATTGACTACCGGTGGCTCAACCAAGCAACAAGGAAGGATCATTTTCCTCTACCCTTCATTGATTAGATGCTTGAGCATTTGGCAGGTAAATCTCATTACTATTTTCTTGATGGGTTCTCTGGTTATTTTCAGATTCATATTGCTCTTGAGGATCAGGAAAAAACCACATTCACCTGCCCTTTTGGTACTTTTGCCTATAGGAGGATGCCTTTTGGCCTATGCAATGCCCCTGGCACATTCCAGCGGTGCATGCTCAGTATTTTTAGTGATTTTCTTGAAAATTGCATAGAGGTGTTTATGGATGATTTTACTATTTATGGATCCTCTTTTGACACATGCTTAGATAATTTGGATAAAGTTCTTAATAGATGCATTGAAACTAATCTTGTTCTGAATTTTGAAAAATGTCACTTCATGGTAGAACAAGGTATAGTTTTAGGGCATATAATTTCTAGTCAGGGCATTGAGGTTGACCCTACCAAGATATCTGTTATTTCACAGTTGCCTTACCCCTCTTGCGTGCGAGAGGTTCGATCTTTTCTTGGCCATGTAGGTTTCTACAAGCGCTTCATCAAAGAATTAAGCAAGAAGGCCCTTCCGCTATCCAATCTACTGGAGAAAGAGGTTGATTTTGTTTTTGATAAAAAGTGTAAACAGGCTTTTGATTCCTCAAGGAAGCACTCACCACCACTCCAATCATTCAGGCACCTGATTGGACAGTCCCATTCGAGCTGATGTGTCATGCATCCAATTATGCATTGGGAGCTGTCCTGGCACAGAGAGTTGACAAGTTGCCTCGAGTGATATATTATGCTTCCAGGACTTTGGATGCTGCCCAAGCAAACTACACTACCACAGAGAAAGAGCTTCTTGCCATTGTTTTTGCTCTTGATAAATTTAAACCTTATTTGCTTGGTTCTCGTGTTATTGTCTATACTGACCATACAACTCTAAAGTACCTGCTGAAAAGGCTGAGTCAAAGCCTAGATTGATCAGGTGGATTCTTTGGCTCTAGGAGTTTGATTTGGATATCAGGGACAAGAGTGGAGCTCAGAATTTAGTGATAGACCATCTCAGCAGAATTGAAAGAGTTGAGGACAGTGCTGATGTCTTGCCCATCCAGGATAATTTTCCTGATGAAAATTTGTTAACTATTTCTTCTATTTCTGTTTCTTCTACCACCCCTTGGTTTGCAAACATTGTCAATTTGTTAGTTGCTTCTGTTTTTCCTCCCTTAGCATCACGAGCTCAAATTGATAAAATTAAGAGTGATGCTAAGCATTCTATTTGGGATGACCCCTATTTGTGGAAGTTGTGCAGTGACCAGGTCATTAGGAGATGCATACCAGATCATGAGATCGATTCGGTCCTGCAATTTTGTCACTCTTCCACACCAGGTGGCCATCAAGGCATTCAGAGGACAGCTCGCAAGGTGCTCGACTGTGGCTTCTACTGGCCCACCATCTTCAGAGATGCGTGGAAGATTTGTAGCACTTTTCAGCAGTGTCAGTGAGCAGGAGGATCCCTTACATGGAGACAGCAGATGCCTCAGCAGCCCATGTTATTCTGTGAGGTGTTTGATGTTTGGGGTATTGATTCATGGGTCCCTTTCTTGTTTCTTTTGGTTTTTCCTACATTCTTTTAGCTGTTGATTATGTTTCAAAATGGGTGGAAGCCAAACCCACCAGAATTAATGATGCTTGGGTTGTTGTGGATTTTGTTAGATCTCACCTATTCTGCAGGTTTGGAGTCCCCAGAGCTATTGTTAGTGATCAAGGCACCCATTTTTGTAACAAATCTATGCAGGCTTTGCTCAAGACGTATGGGGTAGTGCACAAAATTTCTACACCCTACCACCCCCAAACCAATGGGCAAGCTGAAATTTCAAACAGGGAGATCAAGAGAATCTTAGAGAAGATTGTCCAACCGAACAGAAAAGATTGGAGTAACAGATTGGATGATGCTCTTTGGGCACATAGGACTGCCTACAAAGCACCCATAGGGATGTCTCCTTATCGGGCTGTCTTTGGCAAGGCATGTCATTTACCAGTTGAGATTGAGCATTAGGCCTATTGGGCTGTGAAGATCTGCAACTTCTCCATTGATCAGGCTTGTGAGGAAAGGAGGTTGCAACTAAATGAACTTGATGAGATCCACTTGGAAGCCTACGAGAATTCAAAATTCTACAAGGAGAAAACCAAGAAGTTCCATGACAGCTTGATAGCTAGGAAGGACTTCGTGGTTGGCCAGAAAGTTTTGTTGTACAATTCTCAGCTCGGACTCATGGGTGATAAGTTACGATCAAAGTGGATTGGACCTTTTGTTGTTACTAATGTTTATCCTTATGGTACAGTTGAGATCAAAAGTGAATCCACAGATAAGAGCTTTTAAGTCAATGGGCACCGGCTAAAGCCATTCCTCAGCAATCCATCTTTGTTGGATGTTGTTGTAGAGGAGATGTCTCTGCTTAACCCTGCTTCTCTCCCACCATGATTTAGGGAGTTTTCTTTCCCCTTCCCCTTCTTTACTTTTCTTGCACATGTCCAATTCTGTTGATTGTTCTTATTGCTTTGATCTTCTGTTTGTGCCACATTGGGACAATGTGTGATTTAAGTGTGGTGGAACTATTTTTTTTATATGCTTTTAGGGTTTATTTGTTATTTTTGGGTTTAGGTTTTATGTTTAGTTGTTATGTACAGTTTTGCATGTTTCTCTTTGAATTCTGGGTTTTGATAGTTTGTAGGCACTTACTTTCATTCTTGGATAGGAGTTTCTTGATACTGTATGGTTTGAAATCCTTGTTTTTCTCTGCTTGGAAAGATGATTTTGAGGTTTGAGAGGTTGTTTTAATTGTGACAGATATACCCTGTGTGTCCATGCTTAATGGGCTGTGCTCAATGCCACAATTGCTTAATCTATGAAGAGGTTGATGTTGTATACGTAAAATCTTGAATTAATCTTCGCTTAGTTGGTTAACTCGGATGGAACAAGGATTAAGTGGTTAATAGAGTAATCTTATTATGAACCAAGGATAAGAGAGTTACAATTCGAACAAGGAGCCAATCTATTATACTTGTTATGTTATCTGCATTTTATTGTGTTATAAATTGAAAAATCTGAACAACCAAACCCCTCCCCTTCGTGTTTAATTTAAGCCTTTGACAGAGAAAAATGATCCTTGGGAGACGACCTAGGACAACTTCCTAGTACTGCATTTAATTGTTTTTATTTGACCGGATACAGCTTCGATCAGTGTGGTAACTCATATTAACATGGAGAAATGATGAAAATAATTCTGAGAATTGGGTTTTAGAATCAATCGTATAATTTAAATTTATAGCATGTAAATAAATATTAATAAAAGGGATCTAATATTTAATTTATTAATTCTTATCACGTTAACTTCATCATAGGGTACTGATTGAGGGCACTGTAGGAGTGCTTAATGCCTTCCCTACATGTAATCGACGCCCCGAACCAAATTCTGGTTATCAAGGCCATTATTGGATTTTTAAAAACCTTTTCTTTTTCCAATATATTGAGTAAAACATTGGTGGCGCCTCCATGAACTCTTTTTTCAAAACCATTAAGGATTAGTCTGGTGTCCGGGCATTCCTTAATTGATTAGATCTTTAAAAGGATGTCTAAACTATAGGTCGCGAGATCAAAAATTTTTGGGTTGCGACAGATGACGACTCTGCTGGGGATGTTTAAAGAGGGTCAGACCCATATAAATGATGAAGTTAATAAAATAAGAATAATAATTTAAATATTTTCCCCTTTACTTTTTTTTATTTGTTTGGCTTTAATATCTGTTTGCTTGTTTAAATTTTGCAACTGTTTGAATAAAAATTATACACAAATCTTGGCACACAACAGTTCCCCCTACACCCGAGGGCTTGAGGGTATTAAACATAGAGAGTGGTTGACGTAGGACCGACCCAAGTTTGGCCTTGGAGCTTGCGAGCCTCGTCGAAAATCACACCTAAGGTGATAACTAGTTACTCTAGCCCCAAATACTATGACAGAGCTTAGAGTTTGCTAGGTGACAGCGACAGAGATACTGGGTCCCTATAATGGGGGCACCTTAGGGGCCTTAAGACCAATGTGAGGATAATTAGAACTGTCTTATACAACATACTTTTCTTGACAGGGACCACAGACCAAGGATTTGAACATGATCGTTCGTGGGTACATTTGTTTGTATTATTATTTTTATTAAGATGGATTGGAATTTTAAAATAAGCAACTTGATAATAATAAAAAATAATAAAAATTTTATACCCTTTTGTACATTTTTAGGTCATCATGCCATTAGCATCATATAGGTAGTTTTCCTTTTTTAAAAAAAGATGAATAAAAGAAATCTCATCTTTAACATGCATCATTCCCCTTTAGATAATGGAAACATGATAAAGATTAAGCAAAAAAAATGACATGCATTCTAGATTAACTCATTAATTTCATTCATTTTATTTTATTAGCTAAGGAGGATTAGGTTGCAGTATGTATAGAAAGTTAAGAAAAGTGAATGCTCCAATATACGACAATATCTATGCTTTAAAGAAAAGCCCAAATCGATCTTTAAATATACTATGGTTTGGTCCTTAATTTGATATGTTTGTTGAAGGAAGTCTTCTTAGAATCTAATATAGATTCTCGCTTAATACTGTCAAAATCTATTTAAGCATTTTTAGTTAAACAAATCAATGAGACTGATATTTATCATTCTTAACTTTCTCTACATCCTGCATTACATTCATTTAGAACATATCCTTCTCTGTAAAAGAATAAATGAGAATAAAAAGAGAATTTAACCTATGTTCGTTAGTCAAAAGTAATGGAATGTAAGCCATGCATAAAGAGTTTAGGGTAAAGAACTCCACACATCAAGACGCCAACTCTTGCC